TATTGGCGCTGTTCCATCCAATGTGGGGGACAGACTTGTCGGTTTCGTCGAAGCGACCAAGAGTTGAGTGGATGACGCCCAAGCCTGGCACATCTGGATCCTCGATGGACCCCTCGAAGAGAGCTTGCAGACCTACGCAAATGCCCATGAATGGCTTCCCGGAATCGATATGGGCCTTGATAGCTGGGAGGTAATTGGCTTGCGCGAGCTGCGACATGCAGTGGCCGAAGTGGCCGACACCGGGAAGGATGAGTTTCTGCTCGCTGGTTAGGTTTGCTGTATAGTGGTAGAAATACAGGGTCACGGGCGCACCTCTGCTTTGGCGACTTCTTCTGGCGATCTCACCCAATCGACCTCGTAGCCTAGCTTCTCAATGGCGTTGACCAAACTTCTAATGTTGCCGGCAACATAGTCTAACAGGTGGACGGTGGGCATTTTGCCCACTGGATATATTTGTCTGAGGGACAGGTGGGGTGAAGGAGACGGCTGGTCTGGATGTTGGATTGTAAGGTAGCTATTCGTCAGATATACCGGGTCGAATAAAAGGGAGGGTATAGCAGAAGCACTTGGCCAGGAAAGATCGTCGGGTGTTTTAAGTGAGAAAAAAAGCCAGCTGCGTAGGTCGAAGTGTAATTGGAGTCACAGGAGCGACTCACAGGCACGATGAATGGGTCTGCGATAGACCGATAGCGGGGCAATGCTTGGAGCAAAACCAGCATCATCTTGCTACCCCTCCATCCCCCGGCAAAGTGGGTGACAGAAAGCATATCAATGCGAATGGGATATCACCACAGACAGCGTCAAAATACAGATGTGAAGTAAGGCTCCCAAAGTTTAAAAGTTTGTGGAGGATATCAGATAATTATTTACTTATTATTGTGACCAAGATTGTCTACCCAAGGATGCCAAGTGGAATACCGTAGCAAAATACTGAGCGCGCCGTGCTTGACTTTTTATGTCACCGGCTTATCTGGGCGCTGGTGCGATAAGACCAACCGCAGGCTTCCTGAAGAGCCAAGACCTCTTTTCTTCCTCCAACCTACAACGGTTCATTCCAGCCATTTTGAGTCCAATGTTGGGCCTTTGGATTTTCCTAATGGCCAATCAGATAAGGCAATTTCGATGAGGAAGCGACGCTACTTTTCATGAAGGAAGGATTTTCTCAGCTCCCACAGCAAACATGTCGCAAGCCTCGGGCTCAATGTCGCAGACTGGCGACGCCTCACCTGCAGAACAACCGACAGCTCCGAGTCTGGAACCCGAAGCCGCGACCGAGGAAATAGCCACTGAGGAAGATGAATGGGAATACGAGTATTCAGCGACGGAAACAGAGGTAGGGTTGACATGGCACTTGATCGAAAATTGTTCAATCGGCTCACAATGAAGCTAGACGTACTACTTGACTGTCGAGCTCTCCTACCCCGAATTCAAAGGCCAGGCCGCCAAAAGTCCTCACCACAGCCGCGGCGGTTATTATAAACATTGGCTTGGGAGGAAGCAAGCGTATATCGAGACTTCGGCTGGCTCCGAATTCGGCGGCGATGCTCACGACCAGGATAAGAACAAGAGCAGCGGCAACAACGATAATAACGATGATGAAGTTAACACAGCCGACCAGCCTGTCCCGCCACAGGCTGATGTGGCTCGAGACACCAACTCTGGACACACGGGGGTTGATGCGACTGCGGCTGGGGATGACAGTTTAGACATTGACCCAGCCCTCTTCGCTCCACATAGGAGCTTGATACCTGAGCAGGACGACAACGAGCCTGGAAACAATGGAGAGGGTGATAATACGGAAGGCCCCAGAGCGAATACCGAAGCTAGGGAGGAAGCAGAGAATGGGGAGGACGAAGAAGACCAGCTCATGGGAAGCGACGAGCCACTCGAAGACATCCAGATTCTTGACCTGCACTCGGACCACCCTGTGATTTCTTACCGGGGCCGAGTTTTCGAAGGCCAATGGGCAGAGGTTATTGGGACAGAAGCTATATTCGCTCGCCGCAACCCCAACGCGAAGCAACCGCTGCCTGCGCTTCGGAACCTGCCAGAGAATGTTGACTTTCTGGCGGCGAGCGCTTCGCGAATACTCACCAAGGAGAAAATCATGAAGCCTAGAAAGCCCATTGAAGATTCACTAGCGGCCATACGAAAAGAATGGAACATCAAAATCCCACGTGGCAGGCACAAGAATGGAGAGAAAATGAAGCAGGTCCATTTCCTGGAAAGGCTGATTGCGCTCAAGATGAAAAAGGGCGAGACGGACAAGGTCACAGTTTTTGCAAAGGATGGCGCGGGCAAGGATTTCAGGGATGACCGGGATCCTGAGTTCCGCCCGAGGAGGAAAAGGGCTCAGAGGATACGGGCCGGCTCAGACAGCGGCGAGGAGACTGGGAACAAGAGGAAGCGGCCAGGCAGACCTCCCGGGAGACCCAGAGCCAGGGCTGGCAGCGAGCCTAGGGGTCTTCTACATCGAGATATCGAGGCCGGTGGGCTCTCTCAGCCAACACCGAGCCACTGGGAGGATTTGGAAAGTGGTGAGGATGTGGTGGATGAGGAGGAGGAGGAGATTGGGGATGCTGATTCGAGCGATTATGACATGTCTGAAGGTAGCCGTAGGAGCGACGGGAGCAACCAGAGTGACACACACGATGAGGATAATAGTGATGGTGCTGGTGATGCAGATCCAGCAGCCGATTACGAGGACATCACCATGGCAGAGTAACACTAATAGAGGACCTTGATCCGACCTGACCTTGACAGCTGATCAATCGTAGCGCAGGAGGCGCGACAAAATGCTAAATGGCGATAAATGCGCACATCTCGCAGACGGGTTCATGCCTCAGAGGTGACCCCGTGGATGACAGTATTGTTCCAGTACGTCGGCGCGGATCACCCACGAGGGATGATGGGTTCTAACTGTTGGGCACTCTCAGGGTCCTGTGATCAGCTTGGTGGTTGCATCAGGGGCAGGAGCATGGACGAGAGATCCCAACCACCCTTGGCATCTAAGATCACACCTCAAAACAGCAAGCATCGGCAAGTATCAAGATTGAGAAAAAAAAAAGAAATGATCATGGGCTCCTCAGATTGTTTGGGATGTCTGCATTGGTTGGCTGAAAGCGGATGCGTCCTACAGTATGTAGGGGGATGTGGAAAGCCATTGGTGGGATGGGCGGCTGACCCATGAGCTGGTTCGGCACATCCTCCTGTCAATGGGGAAGTGTTTGCCCATGTGGCGGCCTGGATGGCAGTGGTAGGCCGTATCTGGTAGTAACGCTGCATGGAGCGGCTCTTGTGTGTTGCAACACTCGGCAGCTTGCGCAGGCCAAGTGGAGAATCGGTGCGAAGGCTGGAGAATTAGGTTCTTGGCTCGCCGCTGTCGGTGAAGGCGTCCCCGAAGGTCGGGCTGCACATGAAGATACCTATCAGCATCTCAAACCAAGGGTGAGATCCTTCTGTTTGAGGACAGACATGACTTTTCGTGTCGGTGCTGGCTGAAATGGAGTTCAGCCAATGTTTCACCCATGTATGTCAATGCTTGCTTATTAGTAGGTAGATATTAGTCGTGGTTGGCTTCCAGCCCGTCAGCTTGTCCCAACCTCCACACACAACCACTATATTGGGTGCCATGTACATATCTACCTACATGCACCGCCATCCATTACCGGGCTCCTGCATGATGGCATTTGCCTAGGTAGCCATTGCCCGAAGCTGACACAGCGATCCCCCTTTATTTCTCTTTCTCTTGTTGGTCAGCATCTGGCATTGGTTTCTATTCTGAATTCGACGGAGGCCTCATCTCAGGGGCGATGGCTTGCACTCGGTAGATGTAGCCTGTTTCTAGACAGCGCCATTGATGGGGTAATGGAGGAAAAATCCCGCGGAAGACTGCATAGCCAGCGACGGCTGAAGTTTGTCTGCGTGTACACTGTAAGCAGGCCGCCAGGTACCTGCTGGTGCTGAGTCAATATCGGCGTCTTGTCAGGGCTAGCGAGGGACGGATCTCCATTGATGATCACCTAGGGCCGAGAGCGATATTCTACGGGCTGCAGGTCCGTCCTATACGCCTAGGTAGGTCCTAGCCCAAGCGCTGGCAGGTACCTGGGTCGGCTGCTACAGTGTACTACAAGCTATACTTAGCGGCCAGGTAGCGCTCATGGCGGATGCAGTGCTGACCAGCGCTAGGCCCCCTGGGCAGTACTTGGGCCCAGGCTAGAACCGTCTCCAGAAAGGTAGCCCCCATGTCACTCTGGGATCGACCGCCCTGGAACGAGCGAGTCGTGCATGTGCATCCACCCACGAGATGTTGGTGTTGCTCCAGTCGGGAGGAGGCGCCTCAGTGTCGCACAATGCCTGCCCCAACAAGCGACTAGTCCCGCTGTTGGCATGGCGCCCCTTCGTCTTGATCGACCCGTCTCGCGATGCCTCGCCCTGACCGACTCAGGCTCGACGTCTGCCAGGCCCTCTTGACTCCTGGCCGTGTGCCGTATTCGCTCTTCTTAAGCCGTTGACGCCCCTCCACCATCTCCAACGCTCTGCCCTCCCCTCTCCCGCCCATCGGCAGCACCCCGAGCATTAGTACCGTTTCCGGGTCTTGCAGCCTGAGTGCCTACGAACGTCGCATACCTCACATTGATACCTGCCCCCTCGACCCTTGCCTCGCAAGTCCTCGATGCCCTCATAGGTACTGGCATTTGCATGTTCCTGGACCCCTACCGGCTGCTATATATTTACCCCCCACCTAAGCCTCACCGCCCCGCCTCCAATCGGGAAGCTGTCAACAACCGTCCAACGCCGGACTCAGCCTTTCCGAATACGCTTCTGCCTGCCGGGGCCGCGCACGCGACATCTCACAAGCGGCTCGCGGGGTTTCCTTTAAGACGCCGCACCGCCAATTCACGCCTTTTGCCTGGCCAAAATATTCTTATATCTATTTCGCTTCTTCATTCGGTCTCCCCCAGCTTGCTTGGTCAAGCCCGGGCAGTCGAAAACTAACAATGTATTGGGTACGACGTTCTGCGATTGTCCTGGCCGTCCTCCTGTGCCTGTCCTTCATAGCCTGGTCAGTGCCTCGCATCCTCGACCCGACGAGCAAGGACGCCGAGAAGCGTGCCAAGGACCAGCGATGGGTTGCTAGCAGCCCGTACTTTCTGGATCGTCAATTATGTCGATGGATCAGCCTGTGTGGCATTCATCATCTGCGCAAAGACCCGGCGTCTCACGGATACGACTGGGAAGACGACGAAGATTATAATGATGACTTGAGCGGCGAGTTGAGGAGAACTCGTGCCTGGGACGAGGACGTCGCGGCGCCAAGTGGGAAGAGAAACGTCCTCCAACGCAGGCGGGTTCTCAAGGAAGTTCCCGACTACGTCTATCGATATGCGCCACTCGTTCACTTGTACTCGGGCGAGGAGTTCTGGCCCTCGGATATCAGGGAACATCTCGAGCACATGACAGTCTATCAAGATAGCACTGTACACAACTCCACAGACTGGTCGCTGCATAACCTTGGCCAACTAAACAAGCTCAACGGCATGGTAACGCTGCACAGCAACGACGACGTGGAGAGCCGACCACCTTGGCTTCACAGCCACAACAACATCCCCGAGCCATTTGAGGATGACCCCGATACTGGAGGCTCACCGCCCGCACGCCGCCCCAACAACGAGGACCTCTCCAATCGGGAGCACTCGACCTGGTATGATACCAACAAGGATCACCCAGTTCATCGTCTTTCCGACCCCAGAAAGTACGGCTCCAGTTTTGACCGTTCGCGGCGAAATCGGTATTTGACGAAAAATCCGCTTGAGGAACGGGGCCACAAGCCCGACTCCGACGGGTATTCCCGAGCCCCAGCTGTCCTCGTTCTCGTCGACAAGGGAGAGGGTGTTGTCGACGCCTTCTGGTTCTTCTTCTACTCCTATAACCTTGGCCAGACGGTATTCGGCATGCGCTTCGGAAACCACGTCGGCGACTGGGAGCATTTCATGATCCGTTTCCAAGACGGCAAGCCTCGCGGCGTCTTCCTGTCGGAGCACGAGGCTGGCCAGTCCTATGTGTGGGATGCTCTTGAGAAGTCATCCACCGGCCGCCCGATCATCTACTCAGCCGTTGGATCCCACGCCATGTATCCTCAGGCCGGTGATCACCCGTACGTCCTTCCCTTTAAGATGCTCAAAGACGTCACGGACAAGGGCCCGCTCTGGGACCCCGGTCTGAACAACTACGCCTACCACTACGACTACACCCTCGAGAAAGACGTCGAGGAGTCCTCCACGAGGCGAAGCCCTAGCCTTGTTGCTGCTGCCAACAACCCGCAGGCCCCAACCTCGTGGTTCCACTACACCGGCCGCTGGGGCGATGAGGTGTACGCCCTCTCCGATCTGCGCCAGTGGCGCCTCTTCGGCCAATACCACTACACCACCGGCCCCACGGGACCCAAGTTCAAGTCTCTCGACCGCAAGCAGCTGTGCAAGAAGGAAAAGTGCTTGGTCGGCTACGAACTCGATCCCAAGAGGTCTTGGCGAGACTAGAAGAATACCCTATGACTCTCGTCATACGCTCCCTACTACACAAAACATCCGTGTCCAGCCGAGACACATCAAAACAAAACATTCTGGTTCATATTGGACAGCCCTGAAGCATCATAGAGGTCACATAGACTTGGCTATACACGAGCCTGGAAATGGCTCGGCGGGAGTGGAGCAACCGGATATGCGCAACGGAGCATACCAGATGGCCTCGTCTCTTCATAAGAGGCGCCCATCAGGCGTTATTACCTACAAGGTATTTGCATTTTTAAGACTGCATGGATTCTTGATACCCCGTTTTCCTTTTCCTTTTCTTTTTGACGATAGAAAGACTTGTTTCTCTGGAAAGATACAGGATATCTTTCATCAGCGTAGATATATATATAAATGAGAGGAACATGAATATAAAATTGTTAGCAAACACAATGGGAGAGTTTATCTTTTCTAAAGCCCCCTTGCGACTAAGTTGAGATACATGTGTGTATATTGTAAAACAAGATTTCCCGCCATGTCCAAGTGTCAAAGAGACAGTGTTGCCACCAACATCCCGAATCCCACCTCGTTCCTCAATGGGATCAGGTGAACAAGAAACCTAACTCCACGAAACGCCAACCCGGCCCAAAACGCCAAGCATACGCTAGTTACATTAATGAATGTCTCGCTAAATACTCAGACCCAGGATGAATTATAAAAGAAAAAAGGAAAATATGAAGCAACGTATAAATAAGACACTCTCCATCAACGGTCGAGAAGGGAGAGAAAGGAAACCCCTGATTGAAGAGAGTTGAGAACGCTAGGCTTTGTATGACAAATGTGTGTACACCGAGGATTGATCAGTACAATCCTCTTTCTCAAATCATTTATCTTCGTGAATCTGAAACTCGTCACCATTATTTGGCCATGCATCATGCGTACTGGGATACTCAGAGGGCTGACTGCTGCACTCGCTGCACATGTCAACATCTCTTGGATCGACATTTTCTTCGTCTGAGAGCTGGTCTTGGTCCTCGATCCCTGGCCAAGGCTCATCCTCAGGCAGCTGTCGATTCTGTGCTTCAGGACCAGTATGTGATTCGACACGGGCGGTAACCTGTACAGTGCCCGTACTCTCATCATCTTCGAAGTCCTCGTCCGAAGGACTCTCATATATTTCGATCTCGTAAAGTTCATCGAAAGCATCAATTTCATCAAATCCCCGTGCCCCCATCATAGGCGAGGCGATGCCACCTGAGAGAATTTGAGCATCCTGGAGGGGAGCATTGCTGTGAGGCGTAGCATATGTGAACGGGGTATGGCCTCTGGCCGAGGGACCCGCTGGCATGGGGCTGGGGGAAGCTGTCCATCTTGGGGTGAAGAGATGGTTTGGGGATCTTGTCCGGCGTCTCTTGAGAATAGCATGCTGCGAGACGCCTTTGACAGATGGCGATCCCCGCCGACTTGCCCCGCCAGACAGAACACGACGCCTACCAGATGCAGGTAGTTCGTGCTCTGATTCAACAACAGGCAGTGATGTAGTGCGGACGTGTAACGGGCGAGAGCTGTGTCGGCTCCGCGATATATATGCAGGCACACCTGATGCAATAACAGCCGGACTTGGTGATCGCAGGTGGCTAACAGCAGGATGATATTGAGATATGGATGGAGATGAGGATATAGGGGGGGTATGCTTGAGATGTCGCATGCTCAATGATACAGGGGCGTTTGGCGGGTCGTCCAGTCGCTCGTTCCAGGTCCAATACTCTTCCATGGCATCAGCCTCGGGAACACCTTGGGAGTCGCTTTCAGAATACACCCGACTTAATTCACGAACCCTCTGCCATGTCCAGCCTGTTTCATACGAGTTCAAGTCCTGGAGGTATGCGTCGGGATGGGTGACAAACAGCCTAGGTTCAGACGACCGCATCATGACAGTAGTCAAGAACTGGACAGTCCAGATAGCAGGCGTAAGCATTTCTGCTGGGCTTAGAAAGCGAAGGGACGAATCTTTGTGGAGTTTGCGAAGTGGTACCCATGAGGAGTGAAGGCCAAGAAATTTGGACGTGCGAGGATTTGCTGAGTTGGCTTGGGTCCGAATGTGCATTTCCTGCCAAACACTGCCAAACGCTTGATGCATAGCGGCGTCCACGCTCCTGGCATCAGGGCCATGCACAGACAATTTCTTGATGAGACCTCGACTGCGGAGTCTTTTGTCCGTAATACTCTTATCGCCACATGCTTTTGGGAAGAGCCATTGTGCCTCATGCATCGAGTTGGCCCAATCTTGGTAGAGTGGAGACATGGACGTGACGTTCTCAGAGCTGTATGTCATAGGGAGCTGTGATCGTTCAGCACCACGAGCTGCTGATTCATCTTGCCACACTTTCTTGAGAGGAAAAGGGAGGTATACAACCTCAATTTCCCAGGCATGATTGGGAGAGGGCAATGCGGATTGCAAAGAATCCACTCGCGCCTGTAAAGTCTGTAGTTGGCTGTAAAGTTCCTGCGAGTGACTTGGCCGATTTGTTGCTTCCGTTGAAAATGATGCAACGCTTTGTGTGGCTGAATCGTCCGTCTTTTCAGCATGTCGGGATGCCGCAGCCGCATATTCCGCAGCCTGTTTCTCAGCTTCCTCCATCCTGCTCTCTAGGTCGGTTACTCGAAGGTCCATCTGGTCATGCCTCTCGTGGCATTCATCATTGCCAGCAGAGAATGATACATTTTCGAGCCTCTCAAGGCGCTGCTCATTTGCAACGACTGCATCTGATAAGTTTTTGAATTCTTGACGTGACATTTCTCCAAGGGCAGAGGTCCTGGGCTCATGCTGCGTAGTCTCCTGGGATGCTCCGGCATGGTCCTTATTCGCTGGTACTAGTACAAAGGAGTCCTCTACGATTGGCGCACTATTGGAATGGGCGGGTGGTTTGGGATCAGCAGTTGGTGGTAAGGGTGGCAGGCACTTGGTCTCCTGGACAGTGCCCAATGTATTAAGTCCTTTACCAGCAAATGGCTTGAGGTACCTTGCCCGGATGGAAGAAGTGGTGGAGCTGGCCTGGGATGGGATTAGAAACTGGGAGGGGCTGGCGGGAGGTTTGTTGCCCATCGATTCCCCCCAGCCCAAGGTATCGGGGAGGGAGCCAGCAGCGGGTGGGATGCTACTGGGAATGGGTTTCTCCGTGGCCACCTCGGTCACCTTGAAATCCGGATCATTATAGATAAAGGATAGTTTGTCGTCGATTCCAAAACTTGGGAGGCCCAGGCCCGAGGGAGGCAAAAGCATCTTCTGGGACGGGTCGATCATCGGGCTGAGGGGCTCCCGGCCAGTTCGAGGCCGTTCATTTTCCTGCCCAGGCTCCGGGACGCGAAACTCGACTGGCGGTCCATCATGGGATCCTTCATCGTGGAAGCAGGCGTGATGATTGCACATACACCAGCTACCACTGTCCAAACTCGGGGACACTCCTGTAGATCGTATCCAGAACCTCCGGCACCCACATTTGGCACCATTGGCACCGGGGCTGAGGTCCACGAAGTTGCAAGCTCCTCCTGGCAGCGCTAACCCATTGGTCCTGGCGGTACCGATCGGGTCGCTATATATATCAAAGAAAGGCAGGCCAGAGATGGTTGGGTCAAACGGGTTTGTCGCCATTGGTAGCCGTCGGGGGTCATCGCTGAGTTACTGGCTTGAGGTGGTCGCAAGGTATCGGCGACTTGAAAGGAACCTGCAGGTCGCAGGTAGTGAGGCCAAACACCCTGCTTAGACCATTGCACTGTGAGGGAAATGTCAGTATGGTTCCAAATGAAAGCTTAGATGATGAAAAGAATCATCAATCGATGACCTGGGGCATCCACAAGTGTGGGAAAATCGCGACAGGTAGAGATGGACGAATTTCTTGGAGGGTGGCAGCGGGGGAGGGTTATATACCTGCCTGCCTGGATTGACGTGGAACGGAGTCGTGCACGGGGTTTCACCATAAAAGGCCCTTCTGCAGGAGGATGGCAGGTGGTCAAGCGATGGGAGCGTTCAATTCGAGTGAGGCGAAAGGTCGAGAGGTGGGAAGGATGGGCCGCATATGGAGATGGATGGGGAAGGGACGAAGCTGGTCCAGATCCAAAAGCTGGGTGGGTGTATGGCGGGTATGGAGGGATGTAGGTGGTCCTGTTACTGCTGCCCATCCTTCTCCACACCCGGTCCGTGACACGCCCAAGGGCCAAGTCTGACGCGCACGACGCCCTGAGCGGCTTCCCAAACCAGTAGCGGGCGCGCGCTGCCCTAGCCCAGCAGGCCTAGCCAAGGCGGGAGTGGCATCCATATCACCACAGGAGTGTGGGAGGCAGAGCGTGTGCAAGCCAGGTGTTGGCGGATTTACCTCGTTGAGGTGGGAAGTGATAAGGCAACTATTATTTCAAATGACAGAAGAATCCATCTATAAGCCATGGCACGGCACTAGTTTCCGAGTCTACTTTATTTATTTTTTTGGCTTTGATCGGTGCCGCTCGGCGCAACTGTCTTGACAAAACCTCCGTCCCAACTTTGACTGAGGCCCGTTTGAGTAGTAACAATAGGCGTGGCTTTAAAATGTTGGAGTGAAGATAATTTCGCAAATAGAACATCTATTCGTAGAGAGCCTCTATCCCCAAGTATCAAGTTCTAACCTCGAGTCTCGTCCTATTCTGAGCCCAAGTTCGAGTCAAATAGCGCATAAAGCGGCACTCAAGCTAAGTTCGAACACGGCTCTTAGATGTAGCTTCTGGAGCTGGATCTCCTACAGCTCCTCTCCGATAAGCGTAAAACGCCATACTCGAGGGTGCTTTACACGGTGCAGGTTCTCGTTTAGGTACATGCCCCATCTGACTCAGATCAGGCCAATCGTGCGCGGCCTTCTGACTTGGACCGTGCAGTTCGCGTTTGCTGGACCCCCAACGGGCGGTGTGTCTGTAGATTTATTTGGCATCAGCCTTCTCTCCAGTCGGGGGGGGTGCTGCGTGTGAGGCTGTCGAAATATTGGTAGGCGATTTGTGCTTGGCCGCCGATGCAATCAATGGTGTGTTTAGCGAATCAACACGCCCCTGCCTCGTGAGGCGAACCTAGAAATTTACCGCCTCGGGGCTATTGTTGGATGAGCGTTGTCGAAGTTGGGGAACCTAGGCGGCAATCCGTCTGCAACCAAGACCAAATATGATGCGATATATGACTCAAGCCTGCCTAAATCCGCGAAGATCGGTGCTACAAGTTAACCTTCATTCCCCTTTTCGGGCCGTGTTATGAGCAAGTTATCCCTTGGCCCTTTTGTGAGCGGTAATTACTGATGTAGGAAACCCATTGTATGTGCCTATTTATCTTGTCTACCGAGACTGGTATGATTATGTATGCCAACGCTAATACTCGTACATGAGGCCATAAGATCCCGCTAAAACTCCAAAAAAGAAAAATGATAAGAAGATGAAATGACCTGAATACCTATGCCGTGAATCATGTGAGATCAAAGTTCGCCCCAGCTTCCCATTGGACCATTAGATGCGATCATAGAACCTGTTCCTAACGAATCACCAATATCCCAGTAATGTCGAGATGAGACACTGCTTCGCCGCGCTGACCGCCTCGTGCTTTGACTGGCACAGCTGCTCTGATGCCGAAGCTTTACAGGGCTGCTGGGTGTAGTGGCTTTGAACGTACGTCGCTCCGTGGGGCGCGCTCGAGACGTGAGCGGGTGGTGTTGCCGTACCCGGGCTACCTTTGCCGCCGCATCCTGCGTGTTTGCCGTAGCAAGATTGCCACTACTGCTAACACTGGGTGGGCTGCTGGCACGGATGTTAAAGCGGGAGCAAATATAGCGGAAGACTAGCTTAACGTCGAGATCCTTTTCCCATTCTTCCTTAGTAAAAGTATTTGCTGGAGTGTTTTCTTCGACTGCCGCCGATTCCTTGCGGCTTTCGGGCATTGTTTGAGCCCTCTGGATCGTGGGCCGGAAATCTTGGCCAAGGGTCTTGTCGGATTCAAGGCTCACAGTTGACTCGTCATTTACCTGCGATAGACCTGTTTCGGGGATGACAGGTAATCCGGCATAGGGCAAAGGCTGCTGATGAATCCTGGAGTAGCTAGAAAATGCACCTGGGTGGTGCGATATCTGGTTAACTAGAAGTCCGATTTCTCTTGACACAGTGTTTGCGACACGTTCATGCCAAGAGTGCTCGTCTGTGGGCGTGAGCGGCACTTGATCACCAAGATGCAATGCTCGAGGAGTGCTGGATAAGGTTTCGTCCTCAGGGAATGACTCTCCAAAAAGAATCGACAGAAGATGATCATCAATCCCAAGGATCTCCTTGATCACCTTTTGTGTGACTCGAGCTAAAAGGCCATCAGGTTCGCCTGTTGACACGTCGGCGTCGTCGTCATGCCACGTAAGATTATCCGATCTACTCTCAGAATTGGCGGCCGCATGTTCATCATTCGTGCTGTGAAATGTCTGTACTTGTCGAAGAGACGCCTGAGAGCGTCGTCTTCTTCTCGTCTGTCTCTGGATTTCCTCCACGAGGACACGGCTGTGCTCGAGTCGCCAAGCTTCGATTCTTTGCCTCTTCTCTGCTTCCTGAGAACGCTCGGAATCCAGTTCCTGGTTTGCGAGGTCAAGACTTTCGTGCCTGAGATGTACCCTCCTTGGATTGTACTTCTCAAACTGATACATTTGATCTTGGGCATCGAGCCCCAGTGGTGGTTGGCCGAGATTGAACAGCCCAAGGCCATCATGTTGAGGAAATACGGGATTCGAGAAATGAGTATCATCCATATTCTGATCTTCCTCTCCTGGGAACGAGCGGAAAGAAGGCAGGTGACTGTCTAGTCTGTCCAGCTCGGCTTCTTCTTCTTCAATCTCTGAGGGGACGTTGGAGCCTCTCTCATCGTTATTTATTTGTGTGGATCTCGCAGCCGTATGGATGCTCCCAATGTCGCTGAGCTGTAACCTGCCGGTCGTTTGAATGGACGGTATTGTCTCGCTGAAGTCAGAGGCGGTCGTGGCCCCTTCTGTTGCTGGTGCGAATAGGACCCATGTCTGTGACTGGTCAAGGGGCTGGTGGAGTTGGCGTTGGGCCTGGGATTGTTGCCCAGCAGATTCACGATTCTCAGCGGCAGGCTTTACAGCCCGCTGCATCGACTGCAGAGTTGGTTGACGGAAAGCCATGAGGGATACTGATGCTCCGTTCCCCGGGGGAACGAGCGTAGGAGAGCTATATCTATCACCTCCCGTCTCGATATCGGGGCCAGGCGGATTGCGCTGATAAGCGACAGGCCACTTACGCGACAGGTGATCGGTGGGGAATAGTATCTGCACCAGTCGCAGGACTGCAGGAAGCGCTAGCTGATGCCAGCAAAAGTGCTGTCAGTATCGGAAGACAACAGCGCAGGTGCGGTCTGAAGATGATGTGAGCGGAGGAAGGCTACTTGGACGCACACCTATGGATGCAGTAGATGGGGGGGTTGGCGAAAGGGGAGGGCAGATACCGTAGATCTAGCATCTGGGCGTATGGCCAACTGTCTCACATTAGCACATCATCTACTACGTGGTGGAGGCGTCATATAGACCTTGCTAGCCAGGTATGGATCAGCGGCCCCGCATGGCCCGGCGGAGGGGACTCAAGTCTCTAGGGGAGGGAATGGTCGTGTGCTGCTGGTTGGTGGTACTAACCAGTCCTGGGATTCTGCAAATAGCCACAGGTTCAAGATGCGACTGTAATTATAAAATATATATATATAAATAGCTTAGCTATAATATCATAAATATAAAAGTAATTATCTAGTAGCTTTAAGAATATTATCTCTAAAGCTCTACTTAGTAGTGAGGCCGGGATAGAAGGCCGGGGTTTTCGCGGGCCATGCCTCTGAATAGCATGATAAAGGAGCCGTTTTCGCAGCCTATAGTAGTCAAAAATGCATGCTTTTCCCTTCATTTCAATTGAGACCCTAAGTTGTGACTGACGAGCGAATTAACTAACTGCTCACGTTACCTCTATTTATCAAAGCCGACTGTGGCCTCAAGAGGCGCTACGACGAGCGTTTCAAATGCCTCCTTCATGAGATATCCCTCTCTTCTCAAACCGCTCAATCACTCGAGACGAGGAAGGCCTTCGTACAACGAATCACAATGCGGGTGATAAAGCTGTCAGTTGACGCGATAATCGCTGTGTGCCACATACCCTTTGTTGTTGTATCTAACTCCGTGATGCAAACGCGCTGATAAAGTTGGCAAGCTTCTCCGCACCCTCGAGAGAAATCGAGTTATAATTAGATGCCCGAATACCTTTCAGCTCGCGATGACCCTTCAGTCCAGTCAGCCCTATAGTAGTAGCATCCTTTAAAAATGCTTCTTCGACAGCATCGCCACCCTTGATCCTAAAGCAGATGTTCATGCGTGATCGTACTGCTTTGTCAGGGATGATCTGGTAAATGGCAGGATAAACCTCAAGGGCGCCATAGATAAGTTGAGCTTTCCTTTGGGATAGGATCTGCTGTCCTTGGACTTTATCGGGATGTTGTAATAATAGCTGCTTTAAAACCCGGCCTGCAATAAAGATACTATAGAAAAATTATTTGATTTATCTAAATTCATAAGACAAGCCATTTTAGGAGATATACTTATTCAACGTCGCTGTATCTGGATTAACGCTTGCTTCGGTTTGATCATCAAGGAGTGGGTAAACATACTGGACAGTCTCATTAGTCTCATATCGCAGTAATAAACCATAGCAGCATCGTGAGATAGATTCCAGGTATCCTCATTCGGGATCGTTCCAAACTTGCCACCGTTTGCTTCACGACTATCAACCACGATGTTGACATGTTCCGAGCCAAAAAGTCGCTCAGCTTCGGCCGCTGCCTTATGTGACCAGCCACCAGTGATGATATAGTCGATCTTGAGATTCTCCACGGCCGACTTAAGCTTTAGGACTGTGCTCTCATCATTTTCCGAACCCTGCACCTCATTGTATTTGCGGGTGACCCAGTTGCCAACAAAGTTGTATGCCTGGCCATCCCGACATTTCCTGGTATTCTCTTCAGCTTTTCATAGGTAGCCCGCGGGTTTTGACTAGGTTGGCAACTTTTGTCGGACGGTACCAAAAATAGGGTGTGGTAGGATCATGACAGACGGATGCATCATCCGCAGCGTGCACCCCCCTCCAATCTCTAAGGTGTGCCTGGCAACAACAAGGCTCACGCTTTGGCCTCCTGACACCTCGATGGCTGTGTATGTGTGACATAAGCGAATCAGAGAGCACTTGGGCATTTCCGAGTTGTAGATACTGTGGCATTAGATATTATCCCCAGCGTAGCCAGGGCTATCAGACAGCACTGGCTGCCCAAGTGACATGGACGGCTTGGCTGACCAGCTGGCAGCCTACAGCAACGGCATCGATATTCCATTTCTGACTATCTTAAAAAGCGAGTCTGACGCGATGCCCAAGGAGGTATCAGGCGAGATTACGGTGATGCAAGGATTATCGGTGATCACGTCTTCTAGCGGTCTGTCTTTGTTAGGCGTTGCGAGACACCTAGCACAGGGTCGATCTATCTCCCGTACCTGAGTTGCACACCGCGTATACACGCTACCCAACCCAACATACTTGGTTGCATCTATACAGGGTTCTTCGTCGAATGACAATGCGGTCACAGGGGGTTGGGTACCTTGCCGTACGAAACAGACTTAGATACAATCATAAGCGCCTTGCCGGTTGGCGTTAAGTCAAGACTTTCAATGTAGGGCTCCCGTGTTGGGCTTTGATATGGATTTAGTATTTGATGGTCTTCGCGTGGCGATGACGCTTTGATGGCGACCGGCATGAGATTTCTACGATGAATCAGAGCCATGCTACCAGGATCATCACGTATCCCCTGCGGGAGCATAATCTTTTAATTTTGACCACTTCACGCATGATAGTGCCAGCACACTCAAAATAACAGATGAATCAATTGCCAACTCGACTCTCTTGATCTAAGGGAGTATCTAACGTGACATGCCTGATTTTGACGCCAACCTGATCCCAGTCAACCCAACATCATCTAAGCCTCGGAGGTGAAGGCGCCGGGGAAGCGGCGAACGTTCTGCTGGAGGTTGCCGTGGTTGCTCAAGAACTGAACGTAGGCACCATCCACGAGAACACGGCCGGAAGCCTTGCGGTCGAGGTACTCCTCGCGGCGGAGAGGGGTGAAGCCCCAGTTCTTGGAGACGATAATCTTTTGGCGACCGGGGAACTTGTACTGGGAGCGGCGGAGAGCCTCAAGAGCGAGAGCACGGTCTATGGAAATTGGTTAGTCCACCGGATTCAGGCTCGGTATTTGAAGATGAAACGTACTAGAGTCACGAGTGCGGACGCTCATGATGATCTGACCAATGTTGACACGGGCGACAGTGCCGTTGGGCTTGCCCCAGGCACCACGCATACCAGTCTGCAGTCTATCGGCACCGGCGCAGGACAACATCTTGTTGATACGGACGACGTGGAAGGGGTGAGCGCGGACACGGAGGTGGAAACCTTCCTTTCCGGTGTTCTTGACGAGGTACTTGTTGGCGCAGATACGGGCGGCCTCGAGAGCCTCGGAGCTCAGCTGCTCATACTCGTTGGAAACGAGGTGGATGCAGAGAGGGAAGTCGTCGACATTGGCACGCTTGCGACCGAGATCGAAGATGCGAATCTTGGGGTCGGGGACACCACGGTTGAAACGCGACTTGGGATACGGCTGTGCAGAGACCCATGTTAGATGCCATCTTTATAGATGTTGCGTAGATACTCTCTCTCGAATGGAGATGGTCTTTGGAGCCAGTTCATGACGATTTGCCCACACGAAATGACTGCCACAGAACCCTTCCAATCCACGGATTTTCAAATATTCAGTAATAAACATACCTTGTTCTTGCAGTATCGGTAGCAACGGGCAGGACGGCGAGCCATTTTGACGGTATTGGGGTGATTGTCCTGGTGGTTGTTAGGGATGCGTTGAAAGCAGAGTGGCCTCGCTATGAAAAGTGATCCCGCACCACTTTCTGACAAATCCACCTGGATATTGATTTGAAAGCAAGTAAGTGGCGACTGCATTGGTGTTTGCGGCTAAATGCCGGCGTTTTAGGGCTAGACCACGCAACCCCATTGGTTCAAGCCACTCCATGCCCCCAGCGAAATCTAACTGAGGCTCATTCTGACTAAAGTGGCTGTACGTAGTGTAGTACCTTAGGTAGCTGCTATAATGAATGCGTCGGAGAGCAGATGCATCAAACGAGTGACTATCGTAGATCTACGGGCAGACAGACTGTTCCAAGAACACCCAATTTCGCGAGACTTGCCGCTGCAAGCTCATTGTGTACGGGTACACCTCGGCTCTGGCCAGTCCAGTATACCATTATCCGATTAGAAACCAAGACCAGTGTTTGTCAATTGTAGAACAGACAATTTCAAGCTGTCCTTCTTCTCATGCAAGGGAGGGTGGTGTTGGACGACGGGATTTGATATTCTCGGCCCCGTGCAAGGAGTCGCCACGGGTTCTCAAGACAACGCCTGGTTGCCTGCAGGATGTCAGGGATTCGGGAGATTTCATCTAATTTCTCCTCACGGGCCAACAAGACAACTTGGAGGCAGTTGGTAAACAACTGAGCCTACCACCCCATGAATCTCATATCCCAAGCCCATCTGGATGCTGCACTGTTGCGCCGACTGCGGACGAGTGGAAGTAGGACATCTAGAACCGGAATCGAGCTGTAGGCATTCAATGTGAAGGAAGCTGGCAGATCACCAATACCTCAACCCCCGAACTGACTCAACGGCCATGGGCGATCAATCCATTGACGGCACCTGCTGAGGTTGGAAATGAACCTAAGCCGGATTGAGAAGCCTTCTGGAGCAGCGAATCCCATGATGGCCAGCGTTACAAGCTACTGCTAGTTCTTGCGGTCAGGATCATGTGCAAGGCTCACACTTCCGTAGCGCATTGATGGCGCCAGGTGGCCAATGACATGCCTTAAAATACCCTCCACATATCTACCCTTTAGGGGTTTCGACTCTCTACCTGCTGCGCCTGTAATATTACCTGGTACGGAGGTACACGCAAGGCAATGCAGACGGCTCCACGAGTGGCCGAAACCCAAATTGACGGCTTGATGTGGCGAAGCGGCCGAGGACAGTCAATGCTATCTTTAGATGTTGACATAAACACTATCTGCTGTTCATGCGACCGAGATATCTCAACTACTATCAATATCCCTCAATCCGAGCCCTTTCATCTCCCCAGATCCACCCGTGACTTCAGATCCGAGCGCCGCCATCACCGCCCTGTGCTGTTGTTCTGTTGCCTCAAGACCGAAAACCAGACTAGCGGGGCATCTCCACCACCCATCAAATACCCGTACAGTCAAGTCCCCTTACTCGTGCTTGGCCGTAACATACAGGGCTGGCTACGAGAATAACAATAGCTGTTGTCAACACCTCACGCACGCGAGGGCCAGCCTAGAGCCGAGGCCACGCTTGAACATAGCATTCCGCACCGACACTCCTTTGATCAGCGCTTTGTTTTGGGGCCAAACCTTGGGCTACAGACCTATCCCCCCGAAACCTACTTGCGACACGGCCAGTTACGGCTGGAGCAACCCGACATTTAGTCTTGAGGAAGCTTCCTTGCCTATACCTTCAACATGTCGACAACGTCGAAGAGGCCACACTCGATTGTGACCAGTCGAGTTGCGACCTCAGCAGCCGATTCAGCAAGCTCGCCCACCGCATCGCCATCCCGCACGCCTCAGCGGGGGTCAACACCAACAGGCCACACCCGCACTCGGTCAGTTCGAAGCAACACACCTGTATCCGCCCGTGCAGCCGTGACAAGACGAGACACGGGTATGAGTACCGCTGCGTCAGATGCTAGAGCTGAGGCCGCTGCTGCTGTAGAGGATCTTCAACAGCGTCTTGAAAAGGAAGAGAAATTATCAGAACAATACAAGAAGCAACTCGAGGTTCTCCAATCCAAATTGGACGACACTACTAAGGAAGCTGCAAAGCTAGAAGAGAAGGTTCATGAGAACGACGAGCATATCGAGTCGCTTCAAAACGAGAAGCGTGAGGCCACGCGCCAAATTCGAGAGATGGAGTCCATCTATGAGGCAGAGCGGAGCTCTATTCTCAAGGAGAAGGAGGAGATGGGAAACAGGGAGGAAGAGATGCAAACTGTGATACAGAGGCTGAAGGATAGCCTGGCACAACGCAATAATGGAGACGATGATGGCCGCCCCTCAAGACAAGGTATGTGTTTTACACGGGGTCTCCCCGACTACGAGCGATGTTTCTAACAAAACATTCCAGCAAATGCTTCACCTTCACTCGACGGAAATAGCTTCGCACCTCCTTCCTCTGTCCAACGCAGCGACTCACGCAATAGTTCAAAACTTATTCTCCAAAAAGACAAACTCATTGAGTCATTGAGACTCGAACTCGCTGAAGCACAGATCAAGCTCGTCGAATCCGAAAACCAGGGAGGCGGTAGGCTGCAAGAAGTTGAGCGTCTCCTGATGGAAGCACGGATGGCCAACGCTCGACTCATGGAGGACAACGAAAGCTACCAGTTGCTCTTGCAGGAGAAGACTCTCAAGGGCGACTTTGGCCCAAGTGATTTCGCCTATATGGGATCGAACTCTAACCAGGATGCGCTGAATGCTCTCGAGGGAAAGACGGGTGGCTCTAGCCTCGCTGACGAGCTCTCTCTTTCTGAAGGGGCCGAAACAGATGGCGAAGGCGATCGACGCCGTGAATCAGAGATCGGTCGACGATTCGAATCGGAGCTCAAGTCCATGCGGGAACAGAACAAGGCGCTTACTTTGTATATTAACAAAATCATTGAGCGTCTGCTGCAACACCAAGACTTTGAGTCGATCCTGGATACGTCAACCGACATGAAACCGCCGGCAGATACGAATAAGGACCTTCCGCCGGCTCCAGATAACAAATTGGCGAACGGTCAGTCCCTACTACAACGAGCCAAAACCATGGCCGTTGGACCGGGTAAGCCTAGGCAACGGCCCATGTCGGTCATGCCGCTGCCAGTCAACTATTCAACCAATGCCAATCCTGACCGGACATCTTCAGGTGCGAATTTGACACGCTCATCAAGCACTCGCCGTTCTCGACCCCAGAGTGAACAATACACGGGCGCTGCAAGTCTTGTGAGCCAGATGTACAAGGGACCAGATGGCTCGGTTGGCCCAGTGTCACCAACTCTAGGCAACCCACGCTCTTCTCAATCGTTCTTCACACCGTCGGGAGTGAATTCAAACCCCAATGCCGCGGCACGGGTTCCTAGTAGCAGCCACCGGTCCTCTGGCAACTTCCCTGGCATGCGCAGCGAGACCTCCAGCATCAGCGGCGACTCCGGCGAAATCTCGACACCCCCTTCACAGTCACCTCCCAGATCGCATAGTGACAAGCAGACCACTTTCGTGGGGGGGAAGCCTCGGCCACTTCGACTGGTCCAGGAGAACCCAGACGCCGTCAAAGAAAACAAGCGAGCCAGTTGGATCTCAGGATGGAGCTGGGGCAAGAAGGAGGAGACGTCGTCGAGCAATCCGATCCCAGAATAGGATCTAACGACGAATGTCCGACGACCAGACCATTACTCCACGCTGAGGCGGATGGACCGCATCACATTGAGCTAGCATGGTGTTAGGCAGGTCTTTTACGCGGGGATTTGGATAGAAACTCAGTTGCGGGCGTTGCGGTTATATCACTGACGATGATGTTGTACGAGAGGCGATGAGATCTGGGTTTATTTTTGCGACACGCACTGGCCTGGCACGGATGCATTGATTGGGATTGATGATGAACGTCACGTAATAGAGTGGCGGCGGTTTGCAAATCTACAGGCCATGGGGAAACAGAGAATACTCCATTCCGGCATCGTTGCGGCATATTATTGTTGCTTTACGGAGGGAAATGCCCTTTAACGTCACCATAATTATATACTCACTCGGTTGTTTTTGGACGCAGCTGGAGGATATTTCAATAACCTATTAGTACCTAGGCATTGCATAATGGGGGTACATAGCTAATTTCATCTACTACTTCACTCAAACACAGACTCCCTCTTCCCATCGTGAACCGCCTGGGGTTACCCAGACACCAATGCAAGCAAGAGTCGCCGCTTTGGGGGGGGACGGTGCCTCGATGCCTTCCGCTTGGCCCCCTTTCCAGATGGCACCACCCCAAACCGGATGACATATGCAGGAAAATAGGGAAGGGCCGGTAGCTCGGGACCTTGGAAAGGGAGCGCAGGGCTGCCAAATCTGGCTCGGCAAAGGCGTGTAGGATTGACCCATCCTGCGAGATACATCCAGGGTGCCAGAGCCTGTGCGCAAAATTGGCAACCTGTTTTTGGTGGTTCTGCACGACGGGCCGTGTCGAGCCTAACGCTGCTCGTCGATCAATAGGGCCCTGTGATGCTAATGCACGAGAGTCGCATGTGAATGCGGTTCTGGCTGCCTGCGAAATCCAGGCCACATCAGGTGGAACGATTTATTTGCAGTCTCGAGCATAGTGCAAGGGGGGCCAAGGTTGTCGTGTCAGGCTCTGAGAGGCTGCGACAGGAGGTGGCACAGGCCTTTCTCTGTTACAGTAGGAGATGGTGGTGTGTCGTAGGGTAAGTCTTGCGTGGGAGATCATTCAACGGCCCCCATGTCATGATTAGCTGGAGGGAAGACGACAAATCCAAAACAGGCCGATAGGCTATTTGCTGCATATCTGCCCATGTGAGACTCGCCGCGTTGACGTGGCAGTCGGGGAGTCCAGGAGGAATATTGAACGTTGCCAGTGGATTACCTCTACATCACAAATATAGGTCTTTAACGGTAGCTCTGGGAAGCTTTTGGCCGTGTAGGCTAACGGGAATGCACGACAGCAATTGGGATAGAATAACCAGTAATTAGCATAAACCGAGAAACTGATCGGCATGATACATGGCCACGGCCCGCGACAGTCAAGTGTCAGCATAATAATATCTCCTCGCTGCAGAACCGAGCAGACACGTGCTGGCAGCAAGGGAGTTGCCCAGGCGGAGCAAATGATGCGGGAGGCAATCCACCCGATTCCACCGTTGGCACACTTGATTTGTACAGGTAGCCTCCGTAGCGCCAGGTACCTCCATGGGTTACTGCGTAAAAAGACTAGGTACATACCTAGTCCCAACCACTGTTACCCCCATCCGTCACAGACAGACCGAGCTTCTGTTGGGGAGACTGTAATAAAAAGAGTCACCATAGCACCGGTAGCAGCAGTGGACTAGAGCCTGCTGACACGACCTAGGCACAGAGGCTTGGGGAGCCTACTGGGTAGAACCTAGCAAGAACAACATTAATAATAGCAGCAATAATCAAACACAACATACCTAGCCTAAGTATTAGGTAGTAGGTACCGACCTACCTGTTCATAGTTGACGTGTACCTACCTGGTTTGTTGTGGCCGTTGTTCCCTGCTAATTTTCACCAACGACTCCTAATTCCTGGACAACTCCTCTCAGGATGCCTAGGAAACCACCCCGGCCCATCCGAGCGGAATAAACGGGGCACTTTCCCCGGACGTCCAATTCATACTATGTAAAATGAAGGAAATGAATCGATATGCCAACTCATCACCGCTTCTTTGAAGACCTGCCTTTGATGGGGACGGCGAGACAAGGGGAAAGGGGGGGAAATGGCAACTCACGGGCCGGTTACTGGGAGCGGCGACGTCTCTGGTCCTGAAGTTGCCGAAGTGCTGGGCGGATTGGGGAGAAGGACCAAATCTACGTCGCCATGTGGCTGCTATCGCCGGGATCACACGTCTGTGACGGGTGAAGTAATGCAGCGAGAGGCTGCCAGGCCATTCCAGCTTGTACCGATACCGCTGTGCTACTTGCCAGTGCGGTAGTACCTGATCAACCGATACAAGTACCCACAGACCCGATCGTCTTACCAGAAAAAAACAACATGGAACCCGGACGGCGGTTTTCTACCCAACCATGCAAGAGGGACCGTTGCCGGTGTGGATGTCTTGCAAATTTGTCAAAGTTCTCTCCTATCTGACCAACCGAGGTCGGTTCGGATTTTAAGGAAAAATTATCATCAGGGCAACGATGCCGGTACCTACTTACCTGTCGGGTGACACGGACACCAGGGGCACCACGGTCGTCGTACGCAGCCCAAGTAGACCGGAAACGAGGACTTAGGATCGCGGTTTTTTTTTTCTTTTTCTGTGCGACACATTCCGTCTGGCGGATTCGTTTTGCACACAATGTGACATGCCACCTATTCGTAAATATTGGAAGAAGTGAGAAACTTAGTGGCCGTCTTACACCCAAAGGAACTGATGTACAAAATCGATGACGGAATACTACCTGGCTTTTCAAAACAAGTACATAGTACCCACCAAGTATCCGTGCCAAAACAAGGCAGATGTTAGGCTGTCCCGCACTCCCGAAGTTCTTCTTGCAGAGAAATGGGAGGATAGAACTCGCAGTTAATGCGTTTATAATCTTCGGTAAACCTTCAAGACTTCCTTCTATCGGGCAAAAAATTTCCCACCCGGTATCAGTTCGATTGCATGGTTCCTACCCGAGGGTCGAAATGCCACACCAACAATGTACCTGGCCAAGAAGGAAAAAAGTTTGAATCTGGGGGGAAGGGACTTGGGTGGGGAGCCTCCTCCCTGTCGGGCAGGGGTCTTAGTAGACGCATGTATTGAAGGATCACAAGGCTCCCGGCGCACAACGAGAGTGTCAGCAGCTTTTCAAACACCTGGAATATACCTATGTCGCTATCTCGTCAACCACGGTAGACAACTTAGTAGTCGACAGGTGAGGGCGAAGCCGTCCGATGGAAGAGTCCTGCGCGGGTGGCGGACATGTTTGGGGGCTGTACAAACAAACGGGCTGTCAGGCAAACGGACAGGGCCCATGTGCATTAGGCGTGTGCTGTGCTGGGCGCTGGGAGTTGGTGGGTGAACACGTTAGTAGGCAAGTCGCCCTGGCCCCCGTAGCGCCAGGTACCTGAGGAAACAGTACCTGGTACTTCAGGTACTACCGCCCGCGCGCCCTGACGAGCAAGCCTAGACCCACCTGGGGTTTCGCTGGCACTGCGCAAAAAGGTCGACCCGACAGATGGATTGTGTCATGTTTCGATCCCCATCATCATATCACACTCGTTGAACCCGTCGTCCCCCCTAGTGCTCAAGCGGCCGTCGCCTGGCTGGATTCGTGACCAGCTCTCCTACCCTCCTCTTGAACTGGCCACTCGTGCGCATTACCACCCCCCAATCTGCCAGGTCGAGAACCGACGCGCCTGAGACCCTGTGCCAACCCACACGACGAGGGCAGATACTGCATACGACACTTCCTCGTTGGGCATCACCACGTCCTCATCCGTCAAGCTGCTTGTTAATGGCGAACCACTCACGATGATCCACATTTACGACATATTCGTTGCCAATAGACCCTGCTGTTAATCCACGCTCTGCGCGGATTGCATGGTCTGCAAACACCCCCACGACTCTTGGAATCTTATACCAATCATGGACAAGTCATCAGCAGGCCCCAACGGCGCCTCCGCCCATGCTGGAAGTCACGTCAACAAAATGACAAAGAATCACTCGACTTCACAGCTCGAAATGAATGGACCGCGGCAGGAGAATCAGAAGTCGTCTCACTCTTCAGGAACCAACTCGATCTCGCAGTCTCCACAGGCCTCCCGAGAGCCCTCGCCAACCCGCAAACCTCGAAGGGCTACTTCGGCGAGCAGACTTGGTCCCTCGCGATCGCGCACAAACAGCCAGACGGAGTTCAGTCCAACTCGCCAGATGCGCTCAAGCGTATCGGGATACACCCCTTCGAGAAGTCTGTCTTCTACAGTTACTCCAACCCTCCAGGCAGCCCCCCAGGATACACAGATCCAGGCCCCGACTCCCCAGAAGCCCGCCCTGCAGGAACTCAAGGACGGCCTTCGATGGCCGGTATCGCCTCGCTTACGTTCTCCTCCCCCACAAATCAATAAAGCTGGAACGCCAACGCAACGACGTAGCGAACAGGAGCCGCCTACTGTCAATGTTCAACGTCCCACACCATCGCCTGGACCAATAGAATCTAGCAATGCCCCTTCCGAGAGTGACACCGAAGACTCGCAACTACCATCAGGTGCTCGTACGCCACAGCGTGCGGCACTTGAGACAGTCCAGGAAGTCAGCCTACCGAACTCTCCAAGTCCAACCAACAATGCGCTCTTAGCGCAGGTTAAAGAGAAGCTGGAAATTCACTCCGACAGCTCGCTCCATGACCACAGGCTCAAAAACCGCCCCAGCCTTAGCTTTCAAGACAGCGGGAGTGACGGAGGAAATATGAAGCCTGAAGGCCGGCGCCCGACCTCTGTTCCGCCACCACTGGTATCCAGGCAATCCAGCGCAATGTCTTCAAAGCAGACAAAGCCCAAGCAAGAAGGCTCTACCCAGGCCATGACTGTCGAGACTGAAACCGTCTCCAGCATTCCGCAAGTGGCGCTCGCGGCGAAGCCTGAAGGCCATAATGGTACACTAAAAACTAAGCCAAGCACTGAGACTATAAAGCCAAGGAAAGAAAAGAAAAGAACTTCTCGCAAACAGCCAGCAGTGAATGCTGGGAATGGTAAGCATGAACCAATTCATTCAAGTCGCTATCCCTTCTCCACGAGCAAACTACGCTCTCATGTTTGTCCCACCCGTTGGAAATGACCAATGGAGATGAATGTCGATTCGTGTCCTAGGTCACCCATTGTATTCCTCCATATGTGTTACGTGCTATGCGCAAACCTTTCGGGTTCACCTTGTGGCCATATTAACATGAAATACTAACCTGGGATTGTCTAGCTTCTTCCAAGGCCGATATTTTCGAAGCTAAAATCGCCTCAGCTGTGGATGAGGCCAATACATCTGACTCGGAAGAGACTTTCGTATACGACTCCAACCCCCCGGATGGCGCAGCGGACAGATCTGCGCGCCGCTTTCATTCACGGACCCCCAGCACAACGTCGATGGCGAGCCAGGCAGATAGGCAAAATCTGCGCTCCATTTACGGTGTTATGGATGGGGGTGCCACTCATGCGCCCAAGAAGGGCATGAAGTTCGTCAGCACTCAAAGCAATAACGGCGGGGAGAATTTGAGTGTGGAGGATGATGGGAAAGGCACCGGCAGAAGCGTGGGTGGCTCGACAAGGGGCACGGCTCGACATCATCATCATATTGGCCGCTGGGGACGCCAGCCCGGTAACGGTCACGCATCACTGTTTGATAACGAGGGGCCGTTCCCCAACGCAACGAAAACGAAGTTTGGGGGGGCTAATTCCAGGAACTCGTCAAATCCACCAAGCCCGAGGAACCACCATGGGCTCAGCCATAAACGATCCAACATCCACCTGTCGAGCTACGACTTGGATGATACCACAGGTGCCGACGATGAACGAACACCTTTGATGGGATCTGCACGATCCATGAGGTCTCCGCGCAACAGAAGAGGTCCACATAGCCTGCGCCAGGCTGAGTCGCAGACCTTCTCTCGTCGACCTTCTTACTTGAATCGATTCGCAGCATGTCTTGTCCTAACCATGATGTTTCTTCTTGTCATCACTGGCGCAATCGGCTTCATGTTTGCCACTTCACAGCCAATGACTGATATTGAAATTGTCTCGATCAACAACGTCGTTACTAGCAAGCAGGTGCTTATGTTTGATGTTACAGTCAAAGCGCATAATCCTAATATTGTCGTTGTAACCATTGATCAAGCGAACCTAGAGATATTCGCCAAATCAGAACATGGAGGGGAAGACGACGGCGGTGATTGGTGGAGGATACCTCGTCGTGGCCATGGTGGCGTACAGACGTTAGACGATCCAATCAACGATCCTCCAAATGAGGATGACGATTCGCGACCGAATGTTCTTCTTGGACGCATCACCGAGTTTGACAGTCCGTTGACTTTCGAAGGATCTTTGTTCCATAAGGGAACGTCCTCATCCACTGGAGAAATGCAACTGACCAACCCTGGAAACGGCACCAACGGGGGGTCAGAGCGCTGGGAACGAATTTATCAGGACGAATTCGATCTCATTGTAAAGGGCGTCGTCAAGTACACCCTTCCATTGAGTGCTCGTGTTCGCAGCGCTACGGTTTCGGGAAGACAACTTGTCAAGCCAAACTCAGCGAATGATCCGTCCCTGAAACCAAACTCAACGCTAGATTCTTAGCCATTGACGAAATTGCGGTTTGTAAAAACTGAGATTTCGTTTTGGTATTTCATTTGTCAAGTCCCCTTGTGTATACTGAGCTCGCATGGCATAGCATCTAAAGGACATTCCGGCGTTGATTGCTCATTTTTCTACACATATGACGGCTGATTATCAAAACTTGAACAGCGATGGGGACTTTTTTTCCATGAATTTTTATTTGATTTTCTTGATATTTTTAAACTTGGTTACGGAACAGGCGACGGTACTGGAGTTTTGGGTGTTCCCATCAATGGAATATCTTACCCAACAGTGAACACTTTTTTTCTGGAGCCAGCAACTACTTGCAGCGAGATCTCGCTGGACTCTTACCGAGGCAACTTAGGTCATCAAGTGCTGTGTTCTGAGAGCAGTTCTTAATCCAAGGGGCGGTTTATCACTTTAAGAGGAAGAGGTGTTTTCATTTGTCCTTTAATGATGATAGAGGAGCAGTGGCGACCACCCCTTGTATATGTATCTAACGGCTAATGACTGATTCACACAAAATTGGCGGGAGAAAATGGGCGTTCATGGCCCGCAAAACAAAAAAAGATTCAATGATGATGAACAAATTGATATAAGATACCAAATATAATGACATTGAAAAGACATCAACGAGCTCGCTATCTGACTTGGTATGTGAGGCATGCAGGAGTCTCATAATGGAGTATGTATTAACCAAATAGAAGAACAGACCCTAAAACGCCTAGTGAGAGAATATCCCCCTCCCGTTTTGTACTCCCCGTCTCTTTGAATCTATGAAAAGTGAATTCCTTCCTCGTTAAATGCAAATAGTAATCGTAAAAAGTCGTTCTCGTCGCACTTTCCAGCTCGTTTATCAGCGAGTTCGGTGACATCCTCCAGAACTTTGCGGATCTTCTCACGCACGAGCTCTGCCACCTTGGTCTTCTTCCTCTTGCTCTTAGTCTTGGCCACTTCAGTCGAAGCCATCTCCTTGAAAAACGCCGGGGTATCGTCGTCGTCAACGTCCATGCCGTTGCCGTCCTCGTCGCCCCCGGCATCGGCATCATCCACCTCGACGTCATCCGGGCTGTCCTCCACCAGGCTATCGTCGACGGCGACGCCATTCATGGCGCACCACGTACGGTAATTTCTCTCGACCATTGCCAGGACCTCCTTGGTGCCGAGCCAGCTGGCGCGGAGAGTCTTGTTCTTTCTGACGAAGCACACACGCAGGAGGCCGTCCCATTCGTCCCAGCTGATGTTCGGGCGATCCTTGCCCAGCTTGGGCTCGATCCGAACTACTGAAGATTCGACCTGTGGGGGTGGTCTGAAATTGTTCTTGCCAACCTTCATGATGTGTGTGATTTTGGCCCAGAACTGCGCGTTGACGGACAGTCTGCAGTAGAGGGCATCTCCAGGGCGGGCAGTAAGACGGAGCGCGAATTCGCGCTGGAACATGAGAACCGAAGTGCGTGGGGGGTTAGGCATGGCCAGGAGTTTGAAAACTAGAGGACTTGAAATCTATATCGCATAATGATGTGTTAGTCCATGCCCACGCTATGGGAAACTAGCAACATCAACTGACCTGGTAGGGTGTATTCGAAATGCAAACATCGAATTGTGGCAACTCCGTCTTTATCACGTCTCCCAACAATACTTCCAATTTCCTCTGTTCGGGTGTGCCCTGCACTCGTTTGACTACTTCAGCCGCCATCCGAGGATCGAGTTCGACACAGATGCATTTCTTGGCTCGCTCCAGTATCCGGACTGTCAAATTACCGGTACCTGGTCCCACCTCAACTATGAGCTTGTTAACGTATGCTTGAAGGAAGGTATGATGGGAAAGTATCACGTACGGACGGTGTCTGTGGGTTTGAGGAAAGCCTTCTCGACGATGGCATCCGAGACACCGGGGTTCTTCAGAATATGCTGGCCGACATTGGTGTTGAACTTGAACACATTGTTCTTATTCGCAGCAGCATTGGCGCCAGGACCGCCGCCCTTCGATGGCCGTTCGTACGGGGTGCCGGACGCGCTGCCGCGCTTTGCGTGCTTGACCTTGGCCATCGCAGTGAATTCGTCGTCGGGTTCGTGGGGTGGAGGGAGGGGCGGTGGGAAACTTACTTTTTTGACGCTGCCTGTCAAAAAAAATATTATCGATAAGGCGGGTATGGATTTGGGTAGGTGAATGGTGCGAAATATGGCCAGACCAGGTTCCCAATCTCCGCATCTAGGCAGCACCGCCCAGCCCAGAGCTTCCCTCTTTTTCACCACTTGATTGGCTGATTAGCACCATTCCTCAGCTACGTCTGACCATCCTTCGCAGTTTGTCGACAAAGGAAAGCTTCCCACGCGACACGCCCTCTCTACATCTCCCAGTTTTATCCCCCCCTTCGTCCCACCGCCAATCGACGAGCAGGCTCTACAGTCACCCGCGTAGCCATGTCTGGCCGTCGAGATTTCTTGAGCCAGCCGGCTCCAGAAAACTATGTCGCTGGTCTGGGTCGAGGTGCCACGGGGTTCACCACCCGGTCTGATCTGGGGCCGACCAGAGAGGGACCCAGCGATGATCAAATGAAGGAGTTGCTCGCCAAGCGCGCAGCACAGCTAGGACTGGCCCCCGAAGGAAAGAAGGGCGCCGATGATGAGGCCGAAGACGAGGATCGATACCAGGACCCGGACAACGAGGTTGGGCTGTTCGCCGGCGGCGTCTACGACAAGGATGACGAGGAGGCCGACAAGATCTGGGAATGGGTGGACGAGCGCATGGATCGAAGAAAACGACAGCGCGAAGCTCGAGAGAATGCCGAGCGCGAGGAGTACGAGCGCAACAACCCAAAGATCCAGCAGCAGTTTACCGACCTGAAGCGTTCGCTGGCGACCGTTTCGGACGACGAATGGGCAAACCTGCCCGAGGTTGGCGACCTGACAGGAAAGAACCGGAGGAGCAAGCAGGCGCTGCGGCAGCGTTTCTATGCCGTGCCCGACAGCGTGCTCGCCGCCGCCAGGGACTCCACAGAGCTGGGCACAACTGTGGCAGACGACGGCGCTGGATCCAGCACACGGGATTCTTCAGATGGGACAATGACCAACTTTGCGGACATTGGTGCAGCACGCGACAAGGTGCTCAAGTCCAGGCTTGAGCAGGCGTCGCAGAGCGCAGGGTCGGATTCCATCTCGGGAAGCGCAAGCACCATCGATGCTCAAGGTTACATCACGAGCTTGAACAAGATGCAGATGTCGGAAGCACAGGTTCAGGTAGGAGACATCAATCGTGTGCGCGATCTTCTTCAGTCTGTTGTCAAGACGAATCCTAACAATGCGCTCGGTTGGATTGCCGCCGCACGACTGGAAGAATTGGCCGGCAAAATTGTCGCCGCCAGGAAGACCATCGCCAAGGGATGCGAGCGGTGCCCCAAGAGCGAAGACGCGTGGTTGGAGAACATTCGCCTCAATCACGATTCTCACAACGCCAAGGTGATTGCGAAACAGGCCATCGAAGCAAACGACCGCTCTGTTAGGCTCTGGGTTGAAGCGATGAGGCTGGAACACATACCAAGCAACAAGAAGCGAGTTATCCGCCAAGCTCTTGACCACATTCCTGAGTCTGAAGCTTTGTGGAAGGAAGCCGTGAACCTCGAGAATGATCCAAACGATGCCAAGTTGCTGCTTGCCAAGGCGACCGAGCTTATCCCCTTGTCTGTCGACCTCTGGCTTGCCCTGGCTCGCCTCGAGTCTCCGGAGAACGCACAAAAGGTTCTCAACAGAGCCCGTAAAGCAGTCCCAACGTCCTTTGAAATTTGGATTGCGGCAGCCAGACTACAAGAACAGCTGGGCCAAGGCACCAAGGTCAACGTCATGAAACGTGCAGTTCAAGTCCTGGCCAAGGAGTCTGCCATGCCAAAGCGAGATGAGTGGATTGCCGAGGCCGAGAAGTGTGAAGAGGAAGGGGCTATCACCACTTGCGAGAACATTATTCGCGAGACTCTGGGATGGGGCCTGGACGAGGATGACGACCGTAAGGACACCTGGATGGAGGACGCTCGGGGTAGTATCAACCGAGGCAGATACGAAACCGCAAGGGCCATATACGCCTATGCGCTGCGAGTGTTCGTCAACAGCAAGACGTTATGGACAGCCGCTGCAGATCTAGAAAGGAATCACGGGAAGCGGGAATCACTGTGGCAAGTTCTTGAGAAGGCGGTGGAAGCATGCCCCAAGAACGAGGAGTTGTGGATGTTACTGGCCAAGGAGAAGTGGCAAGCTGGCGAGGTGGATGGAGCCCGGCTGGTTCTGAAGCGGGCTTTTAACCAGAACCCGAACAACGAGGATATCTGGCTGGCAGCAGTCAAACTAGAGTCGGAAAGCGACAACGAGGAACAAGCTCGCAAGCTGCTGGAAGTCGCGCGTGAGCAGGCACCCACTGATCGTGTCTGGATGAAGAGCGTCGTATTCGAGCGAGTCTTGGGTAACTCCGAGACGGCTCTCGACCTGACTCTTCAGGCACTGCAGCTCTTTCCCACTGCTTCCAAACTCTGGATGCTCAAGGGTCAAATCTACGAAGACCTCGGCAAGGTCGGTCAGGCGAGAGAGGCATACGGCACCGGAGTCAAGGCAGTCCCTGCTTCAGTTCCTCTCTGGCTGTTGTACTCACGACTGGAGGAGAAGTCGGGCATGGTCGTCAAGGCACGCTCCGTTCTCGACCGAGCACGGCTCGCAGTGCCAAAGAGCACAGAGCTCTGGTGCGAGTCCATCCGCCTGGAGCAGCGCGCAGGAAACACAACCCAGGCGAAGACGATGATGGCCAAGGCGCAACAGCTGTTCCCCAAGAGCGGGCTCCTCTGGGCCGAGAGGATCACCAACATGGAGCCCCGGACCCAGAGGAGGCCGCGCAGTCTCGAGGCCCTCAAGGCCGTCGACAACGACCCCATCCTGCTGGTGGCGGTGTCGCGCATGTTCTGGGCCGACCGCAAGCTGGAGAAGGCCCAGAACTGGTTCGAGCGGGCCCTCGTCCTGGACAGCGACCAGGGCGATACCTGGGCGTGGTACTACCGCTTCCTAATCCAGCACGGAACCGCGGAGAAGAAGGAGGAGGTCGTCACCAAGTGCGTGCTCAACGAGCCCCGACACGGCGAGATCTGGCAGTCCGTGGCCAAGGATCCCCGGAACGCGAGGAAGGGTACCGAGGAAATTCTAAAACTGGTCGCCGCAGGGCTGGAGTCATGAGGAAACCAAATTGCTTCCTCCCCTTGAGATTTGAGGGGGTCTAATCCTAGTTTTCTATTTTCTCATCATTTTTCTTGGCTTTTATTGGTAACATGTGCCTCCTTTATTTTCAAGCGTTGGTAATGGCACAGGAGTCAACTTGGGATGTATCAATTTTTCTTCTATTGGTTTCAGGGTGCAAAATGATATGATGGATCGCCACATCAGAATGGCAGGTAGCATGCCATGTGTGTGTATGTAGAAAAATAGATATATATATTAAGGCTCCTAAGAAGCATGCCAAGGCACTTGTTGGGTTCATTCATCGCAAAGATGTGAGCACATTTGGCATCGTGGTCCGAATCATTACTGCCTGATATGTACATAGGGATCAAGGGAAGACGACAAAAAAAGGAATAATGCAGGTTTTAACGGCTCCGGGGCGTTCGAGTTTCTCTCTCTTAACGGTAGAGAAGCAGCCAATGGTGACAAGAACCGTGGGCTAAGAAGACAGCAAGGTCATCACTTGCTCCCGCCAAACCAGCTGGAGATGCCACCCTTGGCCTTGGCGGCGCCGTCCTGGACGGTGTTGTCGAACTTGTCGACGGCCTTGAGGGCGTCGGAGCGAGCCTCCTTTGCGTAGGCCTCGGCGTTGCTCTTGAGTCGGCCGGCCTGCTTATCCGCCTCGGCGATCTACCCAAACACAAAACAGCACCCCGTTAGCAATTGCGATCTAAAAAGCGGTTCACGGCCGGCAGTTGACGAAAGTGGATCTGCGGCAATGGGATGAAGGAATGGTGGAAATGTGGATGTGGGACGAAGCAGCGATTAATGACGTCAACACGACTGTTTCCTCGCTTGGCTTTGGGCTCATCACCAGTTCCCAATTGCCAACTCGCCGCATTCGTCGCCCGGCTGAAATGAAACGGCCCAGCCTGCGCAATTGCGATGCGCAAAAAAAACCAAAGAGGTGAAAATGCAGAGGGCGAGGGGACCGAGATATGACAATAACACAAGGGATGGGGTTTGGTGGGCCGAACGTACAGCATCGTCGATCTTAGCACCCGCTTCGGCGCCGTAGCCCTTGAGCTCCTTCTCAG